CAAGGATCTCTGCAGCCATAGATATTGTCTTTACAAAAAAAAAAAAAAAAAAAAAAAAAAAAAAAAGAAAAGAAAAGAAAAAAAGAAGCTGTAATTGATGAATAAACATCATTTTTGTCCTTAGCACTCACCATAGATATAGGCACAGTAATGCCACTGTGTGACTTTGGACAAGTTAGCCTCTCAGAGCTTCAGTTTAATCTATAAGATGGTATGACAATATGTAGCTCCTATAGTTTTAATAGAATAATAAACTCTTCTTTTTCCTAAAATAATAGACTCTTGTGTATGTGTGTGTATAAATATGCATATATATATATATGTGTACAGCTTATTTATAAACATATATGTGTACGTGTTTTTATATACACTTATATGTTTTATTTATACATGTTTACACATACACTGTACACATATGTGGGGTTTTGGGGGTTTTTTTTGGTTTCTTTTGCTTGTTTGTTTTTTGGCAGCTGGCCAGTACAGGGATCCGAACCCTTAACCTTGGTATTACCACATTGCACTCCAACCAACTGAACTAACCGGCCCAGCCCCAATGTATACATATGTATACACACACTACTTCTGATTGAGCCACATAGAACATTATGTTAAATCTTCACTTTCTGCACAACTTTGTTTATCTCGAACTTAGTAATTATCTTTTTCCATTTGTTTTGTTTTCTTACTATTAATATAATTCCACACTCTCAAGTCAATCATCTGAATCATTATTCAACATATTCAGATGCATTGAGATTTGTGTCTATTTCATCTGCTTGAGGACCTCTCTCTTGGAGGCTGGTGAACTTTCCAATATGACAGGGGACCTGCACGCCTGGTACACAGTTGTCACTCTGAGGGTGCTCATCCTCAGTATCGGGTAAATTCCTACTCCTCCTTCCTGTGTTGGGTCTCCTGTTCTTAGATCCAAAGTCTTCTTCCTTCTTGATTTAATTACTTGTGTTGGAGGACCATATTCTCCAGTAGTTCCCTGGGGAAGGGTGCATGGGAGGAAAATATTTTGAGCATGATTTAAAATGTCTTTATTCTACCCTTGCACTTGACTGATACCTTGGCTAAGTATAATTCAAAGTTGAAAAATTTTTCATTCTGGATTCTGAAGGCAATGCTCTGTTGTCTCCCACATCCCAGGTTGCTGCTGAGAAGCCTGAAGCCATTCTGATTCTTGGACCATCGTATACTTCAAATCTCCTCTTCATTCTCACTGTTCCAAATTTTCACAAACATGTGCTTATTGAGGGTCTATTTTCATTCATCCTCTGGATTCTCAAAGAGGTCAGACTTTCAAGAAACTCTTGTCCTTCAGTTTAGGAAACTCTTGAATTATTTCTCTGATGATTCTCTCCTCTCCGTTTTTTTCTTCCTAAATGTCCCTATTTTTCATAGTCTGTACCTTCCTCTACTTTTATATTTTGTATTTTAAACTCTTCATCTTTTTGCTCTACTATCAGGGAAAAATAACCTTGATTTATATTTCTACTCTGCTATTGAGTTTTTTGTTTTGAATTATCTTTTTTAGAGGTTGGGAGGCATGGTAGTTGATTGAATTATGTCCCCCCCAAAACTCCCTGAAGCTTGAATAGTGTCCCCCAAGTTTTATGTATTAGAAACTTAGCCCCTACTGTTGACTGTTAACAGAGTGGGAAATCCTATTATGATAACTGGAAGGTGGAGCCTTGAAGAGGTGATTAGATTGCAGGACCGTGCAGTAGTGAATGGATTAAAAATGGTGGTCATGGTAGTGGTTCTGAGGGCTTTAAAAGAAGAGGAGAGTCTGTCTTTCTCTCTCTGCTCTCTCTGCTTCCACCGTCTTGCAATGTGAGACCCCTGGGTCACCGTCACCACCACCAGATGGACTTTGGACTTCCCAGACTCAGAAACTGTAGCCAAAAAATTTCACTTTTCTTTATAAATCACCCAGTCTCAGGTGTTCTGTTATAGCAACACAAAATGGACTAATACAGGCATGTTTTCTATTCTCTGAATATTTCCTTTTTATAGCATCATAATTTTGTTTTGTACACAATATTTTCTCTTAATTCTCAAAGGGTATCAAAGATAGTTCTTGTTTTTTAACACTTCTCCCTGAATATGCTCTATTTCCTCTCTTTTGCTTATATGCTTTGTACTGTATGTTTGTTTTGGTGTTTATCATTCATGTTAGACATTTTCCTCAGGTCCGTGTATTTTTACTTGTATAGGGAGTGGGGCACTAAATATAGATTGGGGCTCTGTATGTGTGTCAGTTGGCGGGCATTTGCTGACTCTGGGTTTCATTCCGTCTGCTGACACTGGTGAGGTTTTGGGGGGGAACCCCTGCTGTCAACATTTTTAGATATTTTCTTTTGGCCTAATGAGATTTCCTAGAAAAGGATTTTCTAATCTGTTGGGCTTGAAGAGAGCTGTATGTAAATGTTCCTTCAATCACTCTGTTTTTCAGTATGGCACCACCAACCTCAGCTGAGCTGGTCTCCTTGACAAATGACCCTCTGATTCCAAGCTTCCAGTTTTACACCCAAGTGGTGGAGCAGTGACTGGCTCCATGGAACTGGGAAGGGATCTGAGACTCTGCTTTTTAAGTAGGATTTCAATCAAATCTCCCATTTTTAGCTTCACTTTACCCTCAATCCCAAAAGTACATGGTGAAACAAATTTGTGAGTCTTTCTGGGGAGGGGGCTTCTGCATTAAATCAGATTGCAACTTGACTTTTTCCCACTAGCTTCCCAAATTTTGTTGATATGTTTCCCCTCTGATTCTTTTTATCCTTGAGGGGCTGTGCCACTTGAAAACTTTCTTTATTGCTTTATTTGTGCGGGAATGAAAGTAAGTATACGTGTTCTATTCACCATCTTTACTCTAAACCTCTTTAGAGTCTTTTCATGAGCAAATTACATATAAAGTAACTGGCACTTTTATGTAATGAAAAAGTTAGTTTAACCTTCACCCTTACTCCAAAAGGTTTGCAGAAACTCTCATTTTAAAAACCACAGCTTTCACCCACAACTCAAGTTAACTTTTTCAAGGTGAGTTCACTAGATCATAATATCAAGGTGTCTTTCAGCCTAGGACTAGGTTTTGGCAGAGACCATCTGTCTCAGGAGAAACCAGGCATAATACTCCTTAATACAAATATACAATAGCTGATGCCAAGGAAAAAATAGACATCAAAGTCTCTGAAACTGAAAGAACTTATGACACTGGTGTATTATGGTTGTTCTTGTTTTTAAAAGCCTTACTTGCTATGGGAAATACAAACTCTTAGAAAAATCACTTTCAGAAATATCAACAGCCAAAGCATATATTGAAAATGGCCAAGTAAGAATCCATTGTCTTTCACGTATTGCCTTGATTTTCTAAATTGTTTGTGGATCAATCCTAGGAGGTTAAGTTAGCATACTCCTTGCTTAGTTTCTATACAATTTGGCTGAGCTCTGGGCAGCAGAGCAGCCCAAGCATGAAAAGGTGCCAGGAAGAAAAAAGCAAAGACTGCTTGCCTACTTCCACTTTTGAAAAACCATCCAACTTTATGACAGACCCTCTCAGGATATGCAATGGCACTATGGACTGCCAGTTATGACAAAAAAGAAAATGGGCTGCTTTCTCCCTCACTAGATAGCCTTGAGCTTACTATCTTGGATGAAACCAAAATTCATTGTGTCTTTTCTTGGAATGACTAGCTGTACTTAGAAAAGGGTGTTGCTTCCAGTCAGTCCTTCATCTCAAAGGTGCTAAACTTGCTCAAAGAACAGCTCTTTGTGTGGTTACCACTTGAGCATGGTGCACAAGCTTCATTCTGGCAGCATCACCCCACTGAGCTCAACCATGGCACATGCTCTTCATCGTCTTTCTAGATCTTTTGGTGCTGCAAATTGTCACAAATGCATCTATACACACTGGATGGAAAAGTAAAAGAAATGAAAAGATATTGTAGCACTCTAATGAGATGAAATTGCTAAGTACATCTGCAGGGTTACTGACTGCCAAGGCTGTTGCTGGTCTACTAAAGAGAAAAAAAGATGCCAGTAGCACTGTGGACACCTGGAGCTGATATCACAGGGATTAGAATGTCTAATACAAATAGGTAATATTGGTGGGGCAAGATGGTGAATTACCTGGGTAAAATATCCAGCTGTTCTTAGTGCAAGGGAGGTAGAAACCAGTGGTGTTTTTGAGAAAAAGTTTAGTTTTGTCTATAACTAATGCTTGTGTTTTCTTTTAAGGGAATCATGCCCCACTACCCAGCAAGATGCATGCTGAAGCAAAGAGTACAGCTGGAGGAAACTGCAACCCCAGAGCTTAACACCTAAATGCCTCCTGCATGCCTGGTACTGGATCAAGCACTTTGCATACAGGGGCTCCTCTGATCATTACAACCATCTTATGAGGTTGATGTTACTATACTTATAACACAGATGGAGAAATTGAGGCTCAGAGAATTTAAGGTGTCTAAGAGTACATGCTCATAGCAGGGTCGGGATTCAAAGACCATGCATTTCTACTACACCACAAGCTATCAAAACTGAGAGTACATGACCCATAAGAGGTATGAACAGGAGCCCCTGAGCTGGAAGAGGAGTACTGAACCTAGTTAATGCCTCCTCCCCACCAATGATTTACATGGCCATTTGCTTGGTCTTCTGCTCAGGCTATCAAAACTGAGAGTACATGACCCATAAGAGGTATGAACAGGAGCCCCTGAGCTGGAAGAGGAGTACTGGACCTAGTTAATGCCTCCTCCCCACCAATGATTTACATGGCCATTTGCTTGGTCTTCTGCTCAATGCTCCTGGTGGCCCTCCAGGAAAATTGCCTGGCACCAACCATATCCTCATAGGTCACAGGGAAGACTCTTTCCTGGAAAGAGTCTCATGGAGCTCCATATCACTGCCTTTATGACAGAGACCATGTCCTTGCAGTTTGGTCAGCCAGCCTGCTGCAGCAATCCTTCCTAGTCACCTCATGCCTCTTGTCTGACACCACAGAGCCTCCCTGGAACCACTGAGGCACAGGGTGCCATGGAATCACTCAGGCCATGCATGCTCACTGGATTGCCTGGTTGGACCTGGAAAGCTGTGGGCTGCAGTCTGCAAAATGCAGGCAGGTATGCTCCTGGCCCAGCCTGTGCTCACACTGTGGCTCATGCTGCAGATGCCAACTCTGACCTCTTGTTCTTACCCCCAGTAGCTTCCTGGAGGGATGAGCAGTGCAAGCCAACAGTGTAGGGGAGTTGACGCCTGTAGGGTGGATTTGGACCAATGGGAGATGGTTAAATTCTTCTTTCTTTCCCCCATCATTGTATTTCCATTAAGCTCTTTCAGGGGATGTCCCTGAGCAAACATTCAGCAGTATTTTCTGTTGAAGCTGTGGCCAGCTCAGTAATGTCCCCACCCTGTATTTGCTTTTGCCCCTTTCCTGGCTCACTCCCTCCCTCCCTCTTGCCTCCCTGGAACTCTACAAATCCCCTCCCCTCATAAAGTATTAGCAAGCCAGTTTTGCTTCAGGCAGTTTTTCTAGGGAACCCAGGAAAAGATAATAACTATGACCAATATTTTCTTTTAACTTCTTCTAAGTATGATAACCAGTGGTCAGAGATGAGGGTGTACTGAAGAACTACTTTTTTTGTATATTAAGTTAGGGAGGAGGAGAGGTGCTCAGCCTTGTGTAGTCATCTTGGGTGCAGAAGTCTAAAAAGGCATCTCCTACTTCTATAGGTCACAGGGAAGAGGTTTCCATCTTTCCTGGAAAGAGTCTCATGGAGCTCCATATCACTGCCTTTATGACAGAGACCATGTCCTTGCAGTTTGGTCAGCCAGCCTGCTGCAACAATTCTTCCTAGTCACCTCATGCCTCTTGCCTGACACCACAGAGCCTCCCTGGAACCACTGAGGCACAGGGTGCCATGGAATCACTCAGGGCCATGCATGCTCACTGGATTGCCTGGTTGGACCTGGAAAGCTGTGGGCTGCAGGCTGCAAAATGCAGGCAGGTATGCTCCTGGCCCAGCCTGTGCTCACACTGTGGCTCATGCTGCAGATGCCAACTCTGACCTCTTGTTCTTACCCCCAGCAGCTTCCTGGAGGGATGAGCAGTGCAAGCCAACAGTGTAGGGGAGTTGACGCCTGTAGGGTGGATTTGGACCAATGGGAGATGGTTAAATTCTTCTTTCTTTCCCCCATCATTGTATTTCCATTAAGCTCTTTCAGGGGATGTCCCTGAGCAAACATTCAGCAGTATTTTCTGTTGAAGCTGTGGCCAGCTCAGTAATGTCCCCACCCTGTATTTGCTTTTGCCCCTTTCCTGGCTCACTCCCTCCCTCCCTCTTGCCTCCCTGGAACTCTACAAATCCCCTCCCCTCATAAAGTATTAGCAAGCCAGTTTTGCTTCAGGCAGTTTTTCTAGGGAACCCAGGAAAAGATAATAACTATGACCAATATTTTCTTTTAACTTCTTCTAAGTATGATAACCAGTGGTCAGAGATGAGGGTGTACTGAAGAACTACTTTTTTTGTATATTAAGTTAGGGAGGAGGAGAGGTGCTCAGCCTTGTGTAGTCATCTTGGGTGCAGAAGTCTAAAAAGGCATCTCCTACTTCTTTTTAAGATGATGTGGCTTTGAACAAATTCGCATAAGTCAAGAAGACAAGGAGATCCAACTGCGGAGATCTGTTTACCTGTCATTGGAGTCCAAGGACAACAGATAAATGATCTTAATGATGAGAGAGAGAGAGAGAGAGAGAGAGAGTGGTGAGAAAGTAGGGTTGGAAGAACATTCAGGAACATAGTTCCAGGAAAAAACCAGCCTCTCTTATATGTGAATTACTCATCAGATACTAAAGAGGGATTCCCAGAATAAATCACATTTGTTTCCATCACCATTTATAATTTATAATACTTCCATACTTGTACCAAGAAAAAAGAGATGGTTTTAAAAGACAACTCTATTGCAAACTTTAGGGGCATATTTAGGAATAATTCCTTCTCTTGCTATGTTAGTGGTATAAAGTATGTATAATAAGCAATATTATAACAAAGAGAAAATATTCAATGGCTCTGGTATGTTTGTTGTCATTTGCATCAGGAGTGAAAATTATCCTACATGCCATATTTTGGTATTCTTTAAAGACGTAAGACCCTGGGGTGGGTGTACCATTACCTGATAGAGCTAATATGAAGTTACCTGAATGTAATCCTCTATTTATAAGAGTTCTCCATATTATTTACTATATGCCAGATGCCACATTAAACCCTTATTTAAAAGAGAGGTCATTTGCTACTCTCCAGAAGCTTTTGTATCAATAACAACTATTCAGAAATTAACAGTTGCTAGTGGTACCAAGTAACTGTCGATGAAGGAACCTCAGAATTATAGATTCACTTGAATATTCAGATGTAATANAAGAGGAGGGGAGAAGAGAGAGAGAGAGAGAGAGAGAGAGAGAGAGAGAGAGAGGAGAGAGAGAGACTTTCCAAATAAGACCCCAATTCTATTGGTTTAGGGACTTCTCACATTGAGGTGCCCATGTTGCTATCAAGATAAAATACTTCCATGTGGTGGGAAAGAACACTGTCCTGTACTTGGGTTACTGGTTAACACATGACATATACTAACAGATCACTGATTTTTAGGAATTCAGAAAGAAGTGCTCACCACCAACGGAGATCTCTGCTCCACATACTCGAATCTCATCACTATTGAGACAGGCCAGTTTGCAGACGAACAAAGTTGTACCAAGGGGAAGACCTGTGACTTGAGAGCTGAGGGTGTGACCATGGTGATAACTGATTCTTCTGTTGAATTTGTAGAGGATTAACCTGTTAAAACTGGAATAGTGCAAGCAGCCTTGTTTGGGCTTCAAAGAGCATGAAATATTGACACTCGATCCAAGTGAAATTACCCGGGAAGGCTTCACAGCCACATCTCCTCTCTTGCACACATCTGCAATAAGATACAAATGCAACACTAAGTTGGCAATAAGAACCCATCTCAAGATGGAGGGTTTGTGCAATTCCCCAAAGCAGGGCAAAATTAATCCCACTGGATCATGGAAGGCAACCATATTAAAGTCTAAACATATTTGAATTAAAATGTGCATCCTTCTCAAAACACTACTACTATAATCAGAACTATAAATAGGAAAGCGGTGAGAAAGTAGGGTTGGAAGAACATTCAGGAACATAGTTCCAGGAAAAAACCAGCCTCTCTTATATGTGAACTACTCATCAGATACTAAAGAGGGATTCCCAGAATAAATCACATTTGTTTCCATCACCATTTAAAATTTATAATACTTCCATACTTGTACCAAGAAAAAAGAGATGGTTTTAAAAGACAACTCTA